TATATATATATATATATATATATATATATATATATATATACTTTTATTATACACTTCTTGAAAAGATGGTTTCATTTCAATTGTTTTTTTGTTTGGTTGAACCAATTGATCTTAGCGTTATTCTTGTGAAATGTATGGAGCTGAAGGGACATGACTTTTCTTCTTTGGTTCTAGATGGGAATACTGTACTTTTTCTCAAAGCAAAGTAACTTGAGATGCAAACCAAACTTTTGAGTTGATACGTCCAACCACCATTGACTTCTTTTTTTTCTGCCAAAAAAATATTATGTAAGCTGAAAGCATTTATCAGTTCACAAATGATCCAAAGTATTAGAACAGTGAAGGAGTTAGACCATGTTTAATGGTGAGTTTTCTTAACAAAATCTTAAGACTAAGACCTACCATTAATCATGCTTTTACAATCTAATCTTTAGGACTTTTTTCGATGCTATATTATTCGTAATACTCACTATAACATTAAAAGAAAAGGTCCAAAGGATTTTATAAGTCAAACAACAGGCCATAAATTTTCAGCGAATAATAAAAAAGTAAACGATAGCTAAAATAGTTTAAAACAATATTAAAATACCAGTTTTTTTTGGGTGGAGATATAAAATATCAGTTAATAACCAAAATTTACGCTCATTTTAACATTTTTGCCTGATTGGTGATAAAGCAAGAAACTATACAGTGCAACAATACGAAATTATCAATCAAAATCAAAGTGTGAATATATTGATACAATTCTTTTTTCAGAGTACTTTTAGCTTAAGTAAAAAATTATTTATTTCATTAACTGGAAACTACACACTTTTCAAAAGTTTAAAGTTTTCATTTACTGTAGTTATTTTATTATTCATAATTATACATCAAAAAAAACAACAAAAATACAGGAAAAAACATTTGAAATATACATCGTTCCTGACGTCTCTCACTTTTGTGATTTTTTAGAGTTTGTAAGCTAGAACACCCAATTTTAGACCATCCTCAATGCACAGTTCTTAGAGCATTCTTATGTTAATTTAGCATTAAATAAAAATTAAAATTACATTTAAAACCTAAGATATGGTATGTTATATAAGATAAAATATGGGTAAAAGAGGCTCAGCTTTCAATTAAATTATTAAACAAATTATAAGATCAATTTTAATAGTCTTGCATTGATGATGCTCTTAGGGCAACATTAAAGGCAAGATCTTAAGTGTAAGAATTACACTAGAAGCTATCTTATTTAAGATATTTTCTAGTGTAATTCTTACATTTAAGATCTTGCCAATAATCTTGGTCTTAGACTCTTGTTTGCGAAACGATTCCAAAGGTATGCATCAATTCAAGTCATATAACGCATACAAATCATGTAAAATCTGTTCAATAAATCCCCAAAATTTTGACTCTTTAGTATTAATATATTTTTCAATAAGGCAACATCTATTTCATAAACATAAAAAGGCCAAAAAAACCAAACTGAAACTAAACCAAAATGTCCGAAAGATCAAAACCTATTTGAAAGTACAGTACACTGTTACAAAATCTTCTTTATTAATACGTGATCATTTCCTTTAAGAAATAACAATTTATTTAAGAAATTTAGAAAAATAAATGAATATATCATTAGCGTATATATACCTCCTCTAATAAGTTCCTACTATACAATTCACTCTCTCCTAGTCTATAAAGTAAACACAGCGAACAACACAAAGATCATCTAATTATACTTTTATAAGATCTCTCTTTCGTCTTTATTTGAATTCTTCTGCGTTTTTTAGATTCTAGGTCAAAGCTTTTGATCCATTCTCTCTCTCTGTGATCGAAAGGTTTAACCTTTTTATTTTTTAATTCGACGAAAAATCCTCTCCGGCGATGGTTTTAACGGCGAAGCAAACTTTCTCAACTAAGATCGGGCTTTTCCGACAAAACCCTTGTTCACTACACCAAAGATCTCCTCTTTCTCTCTCGTTTCCATCGACGGAGCTTCCAAAAATCACCGTTTTAGCCGTCTCGAAGCCGCTTCACCTCTCTTCTCTCAGAGCTAAGTCTCCGTTACTGAGATGTGAAGCTTATGAAGCTGACCGATCAGAGCCTCAGCCGATCGGTGATGATGCGGCGGCGGCGGCGGTGGTAGAGAAATCGGAGGCGGCTAAGCGTTTGAAGATCGGGATTTACTTTGCTACTTGGTGGGCTTTGAACGTTGTGTTCAATATCTACAACAAGAAGGTCTTGAACGCTTACCCTTACCCATGGCTCACCTCTACGCTTTCTCTTGCTGCTGGTTCGTTGATGATGCTTATCTCTTGGGCTGTTGGGATCGTTGAGACTCCTAAGACTGATTTCGATTTCTGGAAAACTCTGTTTCCGGTAAGTGGGTTGGTGGGATATGAAGTTTGGTGAGTTTTTGCTTTAAAAAAAGGTAGAAACTTTAGGTTTGATTTCGATGTTTACGATGATGGGTATTGAGGTTTAAGGTCAAATTGATGCAGATCTTGCAGGAATATTTGTTGTTTTTATCTTACCTGAGTGATATGTTTAGTTTTGTTTGCTTCCTGAGATAAAAACTGAGGGAGAGAGAGAGAGAGAAGAAAGTGATGTTTTTTTTGGCTGTGCTTGTGTTGATAGGCTGCTGAATTTTGTTGTTATAATTTCTGAATTTCATAGCTAAATTCTGGAATATCAAGTGTCAATATTATCAGGTCATAATTTAGCTTCTAGTATAGATTAAAGTATTGAACTTTATGATATTTTGTTGTACTAAATTGTATTGTACTAAGAGTGGTTTTTGTTGGATTATTGCTTATAGGTTGCTGTGGCTCACACAATTGGTCATGTGGCTGCAACGGTGAGTATGTCTAAGGTTGCGGTTTCGTTCACTCACATCATCAAGAGTGGTGAACCTGCCTTTAGCGTTCTTGTCTCGAGGTTCCTTTTGGGTGAAACATTCCCTACTTCGGTGTACCTGTCTCTCATTCCAATCATTGGTGGTTGTGCTCTCTCCGCCCTTACTGAGCTTAACTTCAATATGATTGGTAACATATTTCTCTTGATACGTTGATCATGTATCTAATGTTTTTTGTTAGATTCTATATATCTTGATGTGTAATTGGGACTGAGACTTGAATTGGCTTGGCTTGTTTGATATTGGCTTTAAATCTGCGACTTCTGCTTTCAGGATTCATGGGAGCTATGATTTCGAACTTGGCTTTTGTCTTCCGTAACATCTTCTCGAAGAAGGGAATGAAGGGAAAGTCTGTGAGCGGAATGAACTACTACGCCTGTCTTTCAATGTTGTCCTTATTGATCCTCACTCCCTTTGCAATTGCGGTTGAAGGACCTCAGATGTGGGTCGATGGTTGGCAGACGGCACTCGCTACTGTCGGACCACAGTTTGTCTGGTAAGAAAGACAACTCTTATAAACTCTAGAGATACATATTTTACGTGTTTAATTTATTCTTGTCCTGTTCCTAGAATCCGTTGTGAAAGACCCACTTGTCAAGTTTTTGTCTTTAGCTCTCTATTTTTGTTTGTTATCATCCAAATTATTAGCAAACCTAAAGTGTTGTAAGTGATTACGCCAATAAATCCATCTCGTTATCTTACTGATTTCACTTTTTCATTAATCAAAATTGCAGGTGGGTGGCCGCGCAGAGTGTGTTCTATCACCTTTACAACCAAGTCTCTTACATGTCTTTAGACCAAATCTCCCCCTTGACATTTAGTGTTGGTAACACAATGAAACGTATATCTGTCATTGTCTCCTCCATCATTATCTTCCGCACTCCAGTCCAGCCTGTTAACGCCCTTGGAGCCGCCATTGCTATCCTTGGAACCTTCTTGTATTCCCAGGTAAAGACTCAACTCATAAACCTTAGAATGAACAGAACTAGATATTTATAAAGAAACTGTCTCAGTTTATTGGTTTGATTCAAGTTCTTGATTCGGCGTCCTAATGTTTCTATGTCCTGGTTTGCGCGTGTCGTGCAGGCAAAGCTCTGATTCGGAAGACTTAAGAGTGTAAGGGACTGGTGTGTTGAGCTTGTGATTTCGGTTAAAACCGGGAAAAGAGCTTAGTGTAGATATTTGTCCTCAATAAAGAAAAGATATGATGAGAAAGGACACGAGAATGTTTAGAGTGTGTTTAGGCAGTTTGAGGTTTTTTTTTTCTTTTTGAATTTGGGGGAAGTGTGAGAAGATTGCCTCTTTGTAACTAAAGTGGGAAATAGATATTATCCCCTTGAGAATAAGACGACACCTTGAAACTCTCTTTTCAACTAATAGAGAAAATATCATTATAGAAAAAATAGAGAATATTATCTTGAGGTTATTCTTGTTTTGCTGTCATTATTCATGCATTCAACAAGGTTCCCGTTTAACTTTGATAAACTAGTTATGTCGGAAAAAGCTGATGACCAAGTATAGTTTGACAAAAGAAACCACCAAACAGGCCATAGAAATCAATAATAGAGTTTATTACAAAAGTAATGTTGATGCTTGGAAATGGAACAGAGGCATTAGATTTGGTTCAGACTTGGGAAAGAGAGAGATGTCTCTTGGGATTTCAGAAGAGGCAGAGAGATGTCTGCTGAAGAATATACTAAAATAAGATTCGCTCTCTCTCTATCGGAATTTGCAATTTGCTTATTTTGTTTTTATTTTATTCATCGAAGTCACCACTTCTCTAGTTTTCCTAAAATCGTAAGGATCACAAGCGGAACATCATGATTCATGACACAGAAGCAGCAGATGCTACATTGCTACACAGTAGAAGATGCTATAGTATATGCGAATATATGTCTCTTCCATTTTCTTTTTTTCTAATGTAACATTGATATCTTAAACTAGCTGCATTGGCCATTGGTCATAGAGGTCTTCTTTGATAAGCTTATTAACTAACTAAAGAAGCTCACGAGTCCTGAGATTCCGAAATTATTTCGTGTTCCTATGTTGTATGATTATGTTTTCATAACACTGGAGCTCTTTTAAAAATATGAGATGTTTTATTTTTTTATTGATAGTACATTTATTCAGGTTATGTTCTATTCGTAATCATTTTCTATTTCCATTTTTCTTGGAAACGTCTTGTGACCAGAGAGAAGCAAAGTACAAACAGATTACAAGTACAAAAAGGATTTCATTGTCTGAATTCTGAAAAGTGAAAACTAAAACACAAACAAAAGTGTTTCTCTTCAAACTTCAAGGTATTTAGCCACTGTCTGAACATCCTTATCTCCTCTACCACTGAAGTTCAAGACCACTCTCGTTCCGTCTGCTAACGTAGGACATAGCTTCTCAAGGTACGCTAGTGCGTGTGAGGTCTCCAGTGCTGGAATTATTCCCTCTAACCGCGACACTCTCTTGAATGCTGCAAACCGCAAATCAAAAGGCAACTTACAAAACAAAGAACAGATTTTCGAATACAGAAGTAAATACTATGCATTGATACATACCTTCCAATGCTTCTTCGTCGGTTATGCTATAGTATTCAGCTCGTCCCATGTCTTTAAAAAAACTGTGCTCGGGTCCGACTCCAGGATAGTCCAATCTGTAAGAGAAAATGAAACCATGTTCATGCAACCGCTGCTAACTGAGTAGACTAGTCTATAAACTGCAGTCAAGCATTTGAATAAGAGAGTTGTGATGAGTCTAATGCCCGCCATGGATTGGTCAACGTGCAGTCTGGCCAGGCCAAGACCCATCAATTTGCTTTATATTAACTTGGTATACCAAAAGGCAGAACAGAGCTGGGTTCAGTATGGACCAAGCTGGGCTAGATCATCACAACATCCCTACTTATGATGGCTACCGGATGTGAATAGCGAATCTCACTTACCCTGCACTGATGGAGTGTGGTTCAATGATTTGTCCATCATCATCTTGCAGCAAGTAACTCATAGCTCCATGGAGGACACCGACATCTCCCTTTGTCAATGTAGCAGCATGTTTGCCACTGTCCAATCCGAATCCTGCTGCTTCCACACCGATCATCCGGACCTCTGTGTCATTTACAAATTCATGGAAGAGTCCCATAGCGTTTGAACCACCACCGACACAAGCCACCAGGACATCTGGCTTCCCGCCCCATTTCTCCAACGCTTGTTTCCTTGTTTCTTTACCGATCACAGCGTGAAAGTCTCTGACCATCATGGGATAAGGATGAGGACCTGCCACAGATCCCAATATGTAATGGGTAGTCTCCACATTTGTCACCCAATCTCTTATCGCTTCAGATGTCGCATCTTTCAATGTTGCTGTTCCAGAGTGAACTCCTCTAACCTGTAACACCAGAAACCCGAAAACAAAGGTTCAGAAACAATGTTTATCACATCGAAAAGAAATAGCCAATCAATGAGATAAATTGTAAGCATCACCTCTGCACCAAGAAGTCTCATTCTGAACACATTGAGTGCTTGTCTCTCCATATCTTGAGCACCCATATAGATGATACACTCCAGACCGAAACGGGCACACACAGTTGCTGTAGCCACACCATGTTGACCAGCTCCTGTCTCAGCAATAATCCTCTTCTTCCCCAAACGCTTGGCAAGAAGAGCCTGAGCCACAGCATTGTTGATCTTGTGAGCACCTGTGTGGTTCAGGTCTTCTCTCTTCAAGTATATAAGCGGCCCTTCACCATTTCCTCGCCTGTAATGCTCAGTGAGCCTCTCTGCGAAATACAGAGGGCTTTCTCTACCCACATAGTCCTTCAAAATCCCTGCCAACTCTCTCTGATAAAGATTCATTGACACAAACACACAGAAAAAATGAATCAGACATTGAAACCAAACCAAAAACAAGACTCCTAATTTAAATTTTCTCTGTTCCCTATTATCTCTAACCATTCTATCTATAACCAAACCCAATTCATTCAAGTGCCCTAGAATTTACATTTCCCATCAACAAGATCAAAACTTTGTTCTCAATCAGCAAATGATAACGCTACAATCAAAACGACCCACAAAAGCAAAAATGTAACAATTTGATCAACACCTGGAAATCATCGTCGGTGGCGAGAGCATAGAAAGCTGATTCGAGCTCAGATAAAGCGTGCATAAGGGTTTCAGGGACATACTTGCCACCAAACTTGCCAAACCGACCGAACGAATCGGGTCTTTGCCACAGGGCCGGGTCAGATCCGGCGGCCATAAGAACAGCCGGGTCCTTGGCGATAGTGCAGGAGACGGAGAAAGACGACTTGGAGCGAGGAGATGGCAAAGGCGTAAATTTGACAGCTTTGAAAGGTGATCTCAAATGGGTCAGCTGAGAAGAAGAAGAAGAAGACGAAGGAGATGAAGAAACGGAGGCTCTGAAAGTAGCAGAGGCTGCCATTACTGAATCTCTCAGAGTCAACAAATTTATATTCTTCTTCTCTCCTTTTGTAATATCCTTTCAAAGTGTTTTTAGGGTGTTTTTATAGATAGAGAGATTCCTTTCTTCTTTTTTCAAAATCTATTGGTCAAAATTCTGACCACAAAAATTCATATTAAACTATTATTTTTGAGCAGAATTTATGTAAAACCTAAATCAGTTTTAATCTTTTTTTTGTCAACAAATCAGTTTTAATCTAATTTGGTCAATTTGTATATCTTAAGGAAGAAAAAAAAAACAGATACTATAAAATTTATTATTGGTTATAAAATAAATATTAAAATGGTTTTCAGATATATCTATTAGTTTTTATGATTGCTTATATAAAAATGGAGTTTACGAAAGTTTATTGATAATTTTTTAAAGTTTATATATATAAAACTCGGAAGACGGGATATGATGGAATTAGCCAAATAAGACTTTTACCAAATCGAAAAAAGTTGGTATGACTCCGAGAATGAAATAACCACATGGTTTTGAAAAACATATCTTATAGGAGCCATCACCAACCCTTATCTTGACATAACTATATACTAGTATGTCTTAAAGTTATTTTTTTCAATTTTCATTTAATTTACAGAATTTTTTTCTCTTTCAATTACATGAAGTATATGGTATAGTTTTGTCAGAAATGATTCTTGGTCGGAACATCAACATGTGTGCACTCTATTTTTTAAGGTGATTCGAAAATGCGACGATCCTCTATATGCAGCTCAGCAGCTACGTTTTCATGACCAGATGTTGCGTATCCTTCCTTATACTGTGTTGGAAGTTGAAAAGTATATTGACTGTGATGAACTTGGAAAGTAAATCAAAGTAGATTTGGTGGATGGTGGCACGTTTTGGAGCTGAGCTATGGTGTTGTTGTGCACACTTCATATATATACGAGTTTCCTTTATTGACTGGTGTGGTTGGGTATATATTTTTGTATTTTCGTTTCTGAATAAGAAAGAGCCTCGAAATAACTGAGGACTTGGATTCTCTTCGTGAACCAAAATCAATAATAAATATTTTAGTAATATCAGTATCATTTGTATAAGTTCAACTCTTTTCTTCTCTAATATACATGATCTTTACGCAACATTTTACAAGATTACCTTTTTCAAACATTTTCCTTGATGGGTTTTTTCTTTTTAATCTGTTGGAATCAGATTGAAACCGAATCAAAACCGTCTTGGTTGAGAAAAATTGAATCGAAGAGTTTGTACATTAATTATGGTTCGATTTGAATCGGTTTACGTTCATTTAATCCAGTTTGATTAAAAGGTTTCTCTTAATTTCTCGGTCAATATATTATTTTCCATAAAATATTCGTCAAACTAAATATTTAATAAATTTCTTTAAAAAACAATTAGTCAAAATGCTGACCACAAATATGTATAGTCAATAAAACATATTAAATTAATAATTATACCAAAAGATACTCTATATATAAATTATTAATTCGATGCCCAAAAAAATATATAAAAACTTTTGAAAGGGGATCAGAATTCTGCAACTATCCATCCCATTCTGCTAACAACATTATTTTATGGTTTTACTTACTCTTCTTTTCCTTTTTCCTCAGCTTAGCAAACGTTTCAGGGAATTATGTTTCGAGACTTTTGTTGTTGGTGATGTTTTGCATATGTGGTAGTGACACTGACAAGTATTATTATTACATGCATCCAAAGGAGTTTATGATCATGAGTATTTTATGCTCCTTCAGTACTATATATACATATATTTATTCCCCCAAATTAATATTTTAAGGTAATGTATACTTTAATTTTCGGATTAAAGACTAGTGACGCTCATAATTTTCATTTGATATTTTGTAAATGTATTTTCATATATATGTTGGTATTGATCGATTAACATATTAAGGATGCATAACATTTATAAATGAGTATTTGAGGAAACGCTTAAGGTTGTTGTTACGAATAACTTTCGTGGTTGCTTAAACGAGTTAAGATGTAAGAAAATACATCAATATTTGTAATTCGTTGAAGCTACCACTGAAGTTCTTCATCTCCACGATCTTAAATGTATTCTTTAGCTATTTGTATGTTATATTTTGCATCCAATATGTTCAGGATGGATGCTAGCATATATTTGACAAAGCCGTCTACAAATGTATTACTAAATAAATTTTATGAGCTTTAAAAAAATATGATACTCTTATTGCATATGTTCAATTTTATTGAGACAGGGCATTGAGGAAAAATATCAAAAGTGAGAGTCTTCAAGTTTAAATTAAGCGATTATTAATAAGAATACTAATTTTCAGTCAACTTCTTCGTATGCGTCTTCTTTCGAGAACTGAATATGTTACTTTCTTAGTTATAATAAAGCAAATGACATAACATTAAGGTTGTTTTAAAAACCGTATGTTTTGTTTCTCAAGAATCGTTAAAATAACGAGAAAAAAAACTTCACTATAAATGACAAAAAAAAATAAAAATAAAAAAACTTCACTATTTATTTGGATTGGTAAGTCAAAGTATTTTAAAAGGGAAGATATATTTAGGTTAATGTCTTAATGATTATGCTAGTGTACAGATAAGTGTATATGTGATGGCTATTGCCTATTGGCTCAGTTGAACAAAATTATCAAAGAAAATCCCCATATATATATATATATATTAAAAAGTTATCCTTCTAAGTAAAAGATTTTATATATACATTTTAAAGAAATTTTTTGTCACATTTCTGACCACAAAAAAAACTGTATAGTCAAAAAATTGCATCTTTAATAATACCAATTAGATTTTTTTACCAAAAAAGAAGAAGAAAATAAGCTAACCAAATTAAATAAGACTTTTGACTTTAATTTTGGGATCAGATTTTAAATCCAAAAGAGATTTTTACTTAACAAATAATTTGTTTGCTAACTGAGGAAATGAAATAAGATTTAGCATTACACATGTACCTAAAGATTACTTCCCTTATAAACATTTACTAGATTCTCTATATAACTATGACCCATCAGATTTATAAAATTACATATTGATCAAAAAAGAAAAGAAATCTTCAAAGTTCTTAAAACCAAAACAAAAACAAAAAATCTTGAGAACTTGAACAGGCATAGCTGCAAGAGAACAAAGCTTCAGGTGCATCAGTTCTTCTTTTTATATAAAAAAAAATCGTTGTTAGTTATCTTTATTATAATTTTTTTGTTTTTCTTAAATTTTACGAGACATGCTGTATATATGTACAATTTTTAATGATTTTACTTAGTGTTTTTCTTGCTCCACTCATTTCATATCCAGGTTTTTTGTTTTGTTAAAAAAATATATATTTAAAATTTTCTGTAAGAGAAATAAATTGTTTAGAAAATTATGACTAGAGTGATTATAAGTTTTCAATAGTTTTTCTCTCAATTTTTGTGTACCAGATATGGTAAAGTAACGGTCATATCTTGACTGTTGAGACTGATATAGAACATATGGTTCTTGATTTTGTAAAAAACCTTTGTTTCTCACATTCAAAGGTCGATTTATTTACAGATCCTATGACCACGTTTGTTATTTTATGTCTAGTGCAATAGATTCAGACATGTTTATTGAACTGTAAATGCAAATAGGGAGATAACTTAACTGACATATTTATTTTATGATCCATCCTAGGATAATTATTGAAAGAGATGATGACTTCTTCAAAGAGAATGGCTTCAAGTGTGGAGCTAGACGCATTATCCAATCTACCGGATGTAATTCTGATTCTGATCATCTCTTGCTTGCCCTTTAAGGAATGTTTAAGGACCAGTTCACTCGGTAAGAGGTGGAGGTATCTCTATCGTGAGACAGGAAACATTACTTTCAGGGAAACCGAGTATGTGGACCGCTCTGTCTCGGACGAAAGCTCCAAGAGGGTTTCGTTTGTTAACTATATGTGTCAATGGATCTCTCGGTATCAAAGTCATTGCATCGAAACCTTCGAGCTTAAGTTCTCTGATCCAGGGGAATTTTTGGCAGAGATGGAGTCTCTGATCGATTTCGCAGTCTCAAGACAAGTCAAGAACCTGGTTCTTGATTTCACAGGCTTTAATTGGTCAGTCTATTCCTATGTGATGAGGTTTCACAAGATTTTTGTGCATTTGCCAGCAAGCGTTTACAATCTAAAAACCCTCAAGTCACTGAAGATATATGCGTGCGGTTTTGACCCCTCAATGCTCACAAACTCGGGATCACTTAGAAAGCTCGCTATAGGTTGGATTGAACTCTCAGCGGCTCATGCTTTGTTATTGACCTCTCTTACGCTCAAAAGTCTAACTTTTAGTCATTGTTGGGGTGTTGATATGATCAACTTAGCCGGATATTTCAAGGAATTTGAAATTGAGAACTGTGTATTCTCTTATCACATGCCTTGTTCCTATGATCTGCCTAATGTAGAGGTATTAAAGTACTCAGGCCGAGTTCTTGCTTTTGATGTCAAGAGAATGAATAAGGGCATAGAAGAAGTGTATTTAGATTTTCAGAAAGAGCCCAAGTACGAAGAACCCAATGAAAGCACCAAATATGAAGGAACTATTCTTTCTGGCTTCCTTAACAGTCTTCGACGTGCGAGGACCTTAAGTGTATGCCCTTTTCTCCTTCAGGTATATTTTTAACTCTTAACATCTTTACATTACATTCAATTCACGTTATTAGCATATCTTTGAGAAATGAGTATTATTGAGCAAAATATTTTACTAGGTTAGTTTCAAAATATTATGTATTCTCCGTATGAAAGTTTTTAATAGCTTAGTGGATATATGAAAGGAATATGTAGGAGTAGCTAATATGTGTAGTATCCTTTACCTTAATAATAAGCTAAAGCTATTGCGTTGTAATTGATGGGTATAAAGACTGTACATTAGTCGACAGTTTACTACTTATCTGAGTATGTGTGTTTTTACTTTTTGAAGGCTATCCAAGAATGTGATGATCCGTCTTCTTTACTACGTCCTATGGAAACACAACATTTGGTGCTGAGAACGGAGTTGCATGTCATGGAGTTCAAGGGAATCAAGCTCCTCCTCGATAATTGCCCTAACCTGGAAACGTTAACGGTGGATATCCTCGGTAGAAGACTTGGCACGGTAAGATTACTATATATAGTAGTAGTGGGAATTTGAGAACCATAGTTACATACTTACATTTACTATATATATGTATGATTTTACCTAAACGTCATAATTTTTCGTTTTTGATATATTGCAGTACGGTAGGTCATATTGTGGCGCCGGTCCACGTGCATATTGGAAAAAAAACCTTACCTATAAGAATTTTCCTAAGAAACTTAAGGTCGTGGTCGTGAAGGACTTCAGTGGTTACTCTCACGAGCTAATTGTTCTGAAGGTTTTGATTCAGTCGGGACGTGGGCGTTGGCCCGGACGTGCGGGTGGGCCTGTACTAGAGAGAGTGGAGCTTTACATGTGTAGTGATGTGATGGAATATGGGTTGATGCGGGCACGTGATGGAGCCGAGATGTTACAGAGTATTTCAGGGGATGTGCAGGTTCTTGTGCATTATCCTTGAAAGGCTGAGCTATTCAAGACTTTTTATTATTATTTATTACTATTATTCAAGACTCTTCTCGGTTTTTATCTATTTGTCCCATTTGACTTAATGGTGTTCTCGGTTTGTTTGATTTCATGAATAATTTGAACCTTTGGAAAGATTGAGGGACTTGGTCATCTATGTGAACCATAAGTAATGATAATTTTATGGGTGTGTTGGCAAACTAGTACGTTTTTAAAACATAATTATAAAGATAGTACATTTACTATTCACAATTAGCAAAATAGTACAATTTTACTATTTCATATATCTGTACAGACAGACAACTGTACAGTAACATATTATTATATATCAAATATTTGTACAAACAGAAACAACTACATATAAACATATATACACATAAACAAATATACATATATAGACCAGAAAATATCTGTACACATACAATTATACGTATATATATACCGCTGTACGGATGATTTTCCGTACATCGACACACAACTGTACATAAGGATAGCTGAACGTATCAAAATTTGTTTGAAAAATATTTGAAATTATATTTTTAAAAATGCATATCAAATTATAGAGAAAAAAATATAGATTTTTATGTAATTGAAATTTTATAGAAAACAAATATATATTGATGAATATTTTTAGTTATTAAATTTAATGGGTTTTTTAATAGTGTCTAAATAGTGTCAAAATAGTAAAAATGTATTAATTTGCTAATAATGAATAGTAAATGTACTACTTCTACAATTATGTTTCAAAAATGTACTAAAAACCCAATTAATCCTAATTTTATTGAGTGATATTTATTATATACATTTTTGTTTTATATATCTTCTAGGATTTTCGAGGATATAAACATTGTTTTAGGGCTAACGAAACTAGAAACCAAGACTGAACTAAATTGATGTAATGTAAGTCGTTCTATAACTCAGTGAGATGCTCTCCAAAACGAGTGAAGAAGTCAGTTCTTATATGATATATTCGTCAAAACCCTGCGTGGAGAAAGCTATATATATAGGAATGCGTTATATCTTCAGTTTGTTGTTACATCGCCAGAAAGCAATTACAATCTTACAACTCTCGAGTCACTGGTGATTTACGGGTGTGAGTTTGATCCTTCAAGGTTCACAAAACCGGTATTACCAAGAAGCAAAGCATCTCCATTGCTAATTGGTTCAGACTCAAAACCAGTTCCTATCCAAATCTCTCATTCCTTCCGTAGACCAAGTATCAAACAATACTGAGGCGTTGCTATCATGCATGTCGATAGCCGAGGAGTTATATTAGCTATCCCTTGATAATTCCAACTTCACTTATATGCAATGTTCATTAATGAATGTGGTCATAAAAGAAGTATATACAGTACATTGATATTGGAAGAAGGCAAATATAATGAACAAAATCAATCAATCCAAATAATTAACCGGTCATGAAGTTATATTTAGTTACCTTAACGGTTTGCCAAAATCTCGTTCATGCTGAAGCGTTTACATCTTTATACTATACTATAGTAGGTTTCAAGTTTATTTAAAGGTTATTGGGATATTTGAATCCTTCACGATATGTTATATTAGTAGTTGTTTCCTGCTAAGAATCAAGCAGAGATTAAATACGGGTAATCTTCAAGTATTCTGGAACAGTCCAATGCAATGTAAGTTTATTTCGTACGGGTTTAAAGCATAGGATACTAGAAAGTAAGTAATAATATGAAGACAATCCAATGCAATGCAATGGACCCATATATATAAACCAGAGAGAACATGCATCATGCATTATATGGTGAATTGGCGATTTGAAGACTTTTCACGGAATAATAATTCCAAAACTTGGAGCTATAAGTCTCTCGCTAGACTTAGACACAGTCCACATACATCTTCATCTTCTTTATCTTTTAGCCTTTCTTTATTATCTCCACCATAATCTTTCATTTTCCTTTTAATTATTTCCACTTCCTAGCCTATATAAAGGCATATGCATGAGCAGTGAGACTAATAAGCAAAAATAAAAGGGAATATTATAATTAAGATGAAATCTTCTATGGTCTCTTCCATGGTTCTCTTTTGCCTTCTTCTTCTTGTGTTACCGCATATGGCGCATGTGAAGAAACGATCCAGTTTCAACAAGGTGGGCTTGAGACAGCTATTGGGCTTAAGTTAAGTCTTTGGTAAGGCCCAGGTTTGGAAAAGCTGTATGCCCACGTGAACAGTCAACACTCTGCTTTTGTCTTCACTTGAAGGACACGGTCTTGAAAGGAGACGTTGGCGGTGAAAGGTTTGTTACGCCTAGGTTTTGGAGTGACCTGAAAAGGGAGCGTCCATTAGGTGTATAAAAGGAAAAGCAGAGGGCATAATGACAAGATGAGAAGAGCGTGAGTTACAAGCAGAAAGATCTAGAGAGGTTTTAAAAGATAGGAGAAGAGCTTATCTTCTTTTATAGCTTGGTGTTGAATCTCTGGGTTGTTGTTCTTTCTGGTTTCTTGTAACTCTGGTTTTAAACGCTTAAAGGAAACCTTGTGAGCTGGTTTAAGCTCACCAAGACGTACCTTGGCCACATTGGCCTTGGGAACTTGTAAATCTCCGTGTCTTCTCTCTTCTCTCTTCTTCTTGTTCTTACTTCTGCAAACACAAACAAACAAAGATAAAGAACAGAACAATCTTGGAAACTTGGGGGGTGTTATTCAATCTTGTATTTTAATTGATTTGTATGTATTTCAAAATCTAGCGTTATTTAATGATGTATTTTAAAAACCACAATAAAATCTGCTGTTATTGGATTTAACATTTGGTGGATGTATTTTAAAGGACTTTAAAACCAGCGTTATTCAATTTTTAATGGATTTTATTTGATTTAAGATTTTAATGTATTTTACATCTAAAACACGTACAAATGCAATCCTAACATTTTTCAAAGTATTTCATCTCTTTTCAGACCAAAGTAAAATCTTCTCGACATCACTCTCCCAAACCTAACCGAGTCGATCACCTTCACCCACAAACCCAACAACATTTGGATGTCTGCTACCTATCTACAATGCTCTTCCGCCGGTGAACAGAGCCGAAGCAGAGAATGAGTTGGGTTAAGTGAGCTAGGTTGAAGGGACATGGATAACCTGGAAAACAAACCGAGAGAGATTGGTTAGATAGGTTGTTAACCTCTGAAAATGATTACATTTACAGTGAATTAAAACTATCTAACTCAACGAAGAGAGAGAGAGAGAGAGAGAGAGTGAGAGAGAGAGAGAGAGAGAGAGAGAGAGAGAGAGAGAGAGAGTTTGGATCTTACCTAGCAATGGGACAACG